ATACATTTGTTTATAGATAGGTGATAATTGGTGGGAAAACCTGAGCTGGAGAGTTATAAACATAATTGCAGAAGCTTCCACATTGAGTTCAGACAAACAACAGCACTGGGTTTGACAAGAATGCCTCCTTCTTCTTTTGAGCAAACAAACAAAAAATAAATAGCACGTCCAGGTTTTTATCCAAAGAAAAAGTTAGACCTAGCTCAACTTTGACACAAAGCAATGTGATGCCATCCAGCAAGATGCTGTGTTGGCCAATCAAATTCTAGCAAGAGGAAACAACTGTGGCTTTCAAGAGTTGTAAAATCTTATCTTGTGTTGTTTCAGCGCAGTGCTGTTGGAATATGGTGGGAGGAATATGGTGTTCAGTCACTCCATCTTGGAAAAATGTTGTTAGTAATATCATGATACTGACTTCAACCATATCAGTCAGCTGTAAATTTTATCTAAACTGTCAGAACAAATAGGCAGCAGATATCTAGAGTATATTTACTTAACTTTCGGTTCATTTATTATATTCAACACAAACACTGCTCAAGAAAAATTAACAAGAGCTTATCAAACTCTTTTGTTGTATCAAGTGAAATAAATTCAACTGTACCCACATTTGTACTGGTAAATTTGTTCTGTAAATTTCTAGTAGTGCCGAGGCCAAAAGCTTGTTTGGTGAACGCATGGCGTCCGTCCAGATCACAAGTGGCAAAGGACAAGGTGAAAAAGCCACGTGTTCACTGTGAACACAGCAGCTGTTTGCATGGAAACAGTGTTTGCAGTTCTCCTGTTTACATGATCTGTGGCTTGTCGTGGTCAGGGAGTCCCTGCAACCAAGGCTGAAAATCTCACACTGCCCTCATCTCTTCAGTCTGTGACTCATACAGTGTCATAATACACCCCAGTGTAATTATTTCAAGATTTTACTGACAACAAGCAATTGGGTGAATTTACGTGAAGGCAGCATGTTCAGAGCAAAAGCTTTTTGTTTTGTGACAAACATGCGTCACTTAAAATGAACAGACAATCCCGAGAGGACAAGTCAGCTGAGAGTGATTGTTGATTTCAATATGAAGGAGGTTGAAAAGACGTATAAAGAACACAGGGAACAACTATGAAGCACAAAGTCTGCAAATCTCTGATGCTTAGAAGATGGAGGTGACCCTAATTAGACGAGGCAGTGATGAATTATAACCTTGCTGTTAACGTGCTTGTAAAACTGCAAACATTGGAAATTAAACCACTGAGCCATGGTCCTTCCTGTTAATGAGAAAGAAGCAGTGACATTTAACCCAGAATTTACCAACACATGCAAACATGAACTGTTGCCTTGTACCTACAGTGTCAGGTAGGAACAGCAGTCATGTTGCGGCCGTGGTCTGGTGAATAAATAAAAGTGACATAAGGGCTATTATGCAAGTTAATCTGACAACAAGACATGTTCCAGAGACAGTTATCTGTTTAATGTTTACTGGCTGCTCAGCAAATGGCTTAATGAAATATTCCAACTGCAGGTACAGCGCAATCAGGCTAGGAACAGTCTGTATGCTGCTAATACTGACCTTTTTAAAAAGGACCCTGAACAAAACAAATAGAGGTGCAATTAGCAGAAATCTTGGCCATGTTTCCTCTGAAATGAAAGACGCTTTTACTTGATTAAATAAAAATTCAGGAGTCGGATAATGAACATGTATGTGAGTAGAGGGAGAATCTGAGAGCACGGTCCTTTCATATAAACCAAAATTATTCTTCACAACAAGACGTGTGCATAAAGACAGTGGGTCAAGAATTAACAGTTCTAGCATGCGTCTAGTATGACGTCGCCGAACTCTGTATGGCTGATTGAACTACCAAACTTTTCCAAACCCATAATCCATCAAATTAATTTCTACACATCCCCAGAATTTCCAAACCCTAACAAGGAACCCTGTACAATAAGAGTTTGTGGATAAATGGTGACATGCTCGCAGATGCATCCTGTTCCTTCGCGTCATCTCTGTGTTCCTCTTGGAGACAGCAACAGATAGACCTCAAGAGAAACCACAGAGGCTAAAGAGGAGTGGACGGAAATGACTATGTTCCTACTCAATGTAAGAACTGTCCAGCTCTGCAGATATATCACTGGAAAAAAACATCTAACTATATGGTGTCAAGAGAACTTTTGAGCTTGATACAAGTTTAATTTTGAAAATATTTAGAAGAGATTGTGATGTTCGCACTGTTTTGAACACAGATACCTGAGTAGCGAACTATAGCTGTGTGTTTGGCTTTACAGGAGTCTCATGATTTTCATTAAACTGGCACAGCTGCTGGGTAACAGTTGAATAAGGGAGTGGGAGATGAGCCTCTCGAAAACATCACATGATCCATTTTGTACCTAGACATCAGTCGCACAAGTGACCCACTGTCCCAGCAGCAGGTTTGTCAGCCCGGGTAAGCCTGTGAGCGCTGATTAACCACCTTGGATGTCCTTTATGAAAAACACAAAATGGACCCTGAAACTCAATGATGCAATTTTCCTTATTTGATCTCAAGTCACGATTGAGAACACAGAAAGAAATAGTTCAATATAACAGTTCACACTTTGTTTTCTTTGTTTTCTTTTCTAAAACACACTGATACACAGTTCGGGACAACTGCGGTTACAGACCGTGTATCTGAGTTCAAATGTCACCTCAAATGTTCTCTGGTGGTCTCTAGGCCACAATAGCAGGTAAATAGATCAAGACCTCCAAATGATTAGCTGGTTACCCAAAACCTCAATGAAGAATCAGCAGCAGTCGGTTGGTGGTTAGAGGGCCTGTGTTGCTGAATGAGCAGCAACTGGAACCAGCACTGACACAGTAAGGTGCTCCACTCCCTGTGCACTCATGGCACCATAAAGTGCTATATTTGTATGAAAGCATCTTGAAGCTGCTAGTGTATTTACATCATGAATGCAAGTGAAGAAGTGGTAAGTTAGAGGGAAATAACTGATTTACTGTGGTTACTGTATTAGAGCAGCTGTAATAATGTAGCCTGTTTTTGCATTTTCTAGAATATTGTTCTTTGCAGTCATTTTATTTTATCTTAAGCAAGATCTTACTGAAGTATTACACTTATATTGTACACCTAAGAAATCAGTAGCTCATTCTTCATTCTGAAAGACACTGACATTGCTGTTTATACCTTCATGAGTGAGGAGTCTATCGTCTACTTCTAAATGCGGCAGGCACTGTACGTCAAATGAAATATACCATTATATGATTAACAGCGCAGCCTGGACGGGCCCAGACAGGCCGAGACATCCAGCTCCTACATTGGGAGAGAATGATGAGCAAAGGTCACAATGTAACCTTGTGCTCCTGGTAGCAAAACCAGCCACAGCCACTTCACATGATTATATGATGACACAGACGCGTGACTGCTTGCAGGAAGGGTTTTTGTGTGTGTGTGTGTGCGTGTGTGTGTGTGTGAGGGGGATCAGGTTTAAAATCTGACACTATAACCTGTTTACAGTGTTGGTACTTCAAGACACATGCTTGACTCATGTCTGAAATGTTTAGTTAGTCTTCTTTATTCAATGCGACTTACAATGAATAATTATGGTCCCAGTAATGATGTTAGTACTCTGGTAAAAATATATTTAATAGTGTCTCTTAACTCTATGTTTCAGGTGGGAGTAGCTCTGCACTTTTTTGAGAATAGTTTCCCTTTTACCCACAAGAACTCCTCAAAGTTTATATTATTTAGGCCGACCTGACTTACTAAATCCTCATACAGCAGCAATCTAATTTAAGTAATCAATTAGTTGATTTATGTTTTTTTTTTATGTCAAACTGTGTCTAGCACTATCATCCCTTCAAAGAGTAACCCAGCATTGCAGATGGATCCTTTAAACTCTAGTGCTCAGTACAGACTAAAGCATATATGTGAATATTATGTCTCATCAGTGTCACCTTATTCTGTAATGAAGAGCATAAAATATGTCTACTTCCGAGTAAACAAATGACCCAAACAAATAAATAGCTAAGAAGGGTTAGCAGGGGCTCTTTAAATCAAAGGATTTTTCCAGTTAATATGCCGTGATAACCACTTAACCATTTGTGAAAGAACATCTGTTTTGAAAAAACGTGTTTGCCTCCACACTTCCTCATTTTCTGCTTGTCTGGCAGACTGCGCATAGAGGAGTTTCTCATTTCAACATTTCTTTTTAAACACAAGGCTTTGTTACAGTAAGCCTTGAAGGAAATTTCCAATATTTCCAAGAAGCCTGTGGACATCCTCAAGAGCTGCAGGCACAGCCATTGCACAAGCCATCCCTTTAAGTCTTTATCCAGCAAGAACTGCTGCTATTTGTTTTAAATATTGCAATTGAATTAAATCATTATATGTTGACACAAAACTACAGTATCTGTCAAGAAGTCTATGAAGAAATCAGTCTTTGTAGATTTCAACAACTAGAGAGAGTAAAACTTTTTATATCCCCTAAAAAAATCCTCAAGGGACAAAAGCAAACTGCAGAAAAACTTGTTGAACCAGGACATGTTGGACAAAGTGTGTTTTTTTAATGGCTGGATCTTTACATGCTGTATGTTGACACAGGAGGCTTGGACCGTTGTTATCCTCGGGGCACCCCCCCGCCCACCCTCCCAGAGCAGCTGAAGCAGGATGTCAACTACAGCTGTATAGGGGAAAGTTACAAGTTTTAATTCAAGCCATGTACTAAATCCCTGTTGTCCCAGTTTAAGCGCCCATTGCCTGAAAGAGGGGAGCGACCTATTTCAAACGCTCTGAAGATAATTTCTTGGGAAATAAGCAGATGTTTAGGGGGAAAAAAGGTTTTTACTGCAAACCAATTACCAACCCCATAAAAGGAACAAAGCTGGAGGAGTTGCTTCACTGCTGTGTCAGTAAGAGTTACTCTCTCATAACAGAGGATGACGGGTGTGTCCCAGAAAATATTGGGGTGGTTTGTGGGAGCTAAGTCTTACAGCACACGCACTGAAATGTTTAGTTACTATGCATACCTTCGGCAATAAGCTCTTCCACGGTGACTTGATACCGGCCGACTGCAAACACTTTCCCGAAGTAGCTGCTGACTCCGGAGCTGGAGCCGGACCCGGACGCCCCTCCGAGCCCGCCGCTTTCGGACTTTGGCATTCTGGAAAACTTCTTCATCCTTTAGTTTCTCTTTCAGTCCGCCCACCAAATGCAGTCCCTGTTTGGTGCTAAATTAGCCGCACAGTCCAATTAAACTCGGTAGTGTCCGACGTCCCCTATCTACTTATCTGAAATCTTTTCTTCTCCTGCATGCTCCGCGTCTGGTTCTTCTGGAGGGACTACTTGCTGACGGGTGACACGACATGAAAGTACAGTTAATATACAGGCGTCACAGTGGGATGATACAACACCCGTCGGTCTCCCAAAGTCCGTACCACTGACAGCATCCACTCACAAATGGGCAAAAACAAAAAGTGTGATAGGTTCGTCAGCCAATGTGACACATCACGCTAGCTGGCTGCAGCCGTTGCTAGCGTGCATGGGCTCCGCGGTGTGCAGTCAGGACGCTCCGCCAACAATGAAAAGAGGGCAGGGGAGAAGCACAACAATGCAGCTGGCACCGGTGTTGATAACACCTCCTCCGGCGGCAAGAAATCCCTCCTGGGTTTATATCCAGCCCGATAACCCCCCAAAAGCAGCCTCGGCGTTGTTAGCTTCACCGCGACTTGTTCACTTCACTCGGGCGAAAGTGGCTAGTTAGCTCGCTAGCTGCGGTGGTTAGCGGCTAACGAGCTTCGCGAACAGCCGCAGCGGTTCCTCTACGAAACGAGCCACCCCGAGTGCAGGTGGGCTAACAAAGTAGGAACCCGAGTCTGACACAAGTAAGCGTCCGCTGCTTATCGGAAACCCTCCGGCGAAGTCGTTTTCGTTAGGTTCATCTGTGCCATATCCACTCCCCCCGTGTCATTTTTGTTAACGTTAAACTTCTCGTGACTCTCTAACGGTAGGCTACAAAATAAGTGGGTGGTTTGTTATTTACCCAATGAGAGTGACAACCTAACATGACGTGGCCCCGCCCCCCTCTATTGTTATGATTGGTGTAAGTGGAGAATGTATGGAAGCCTATTAACGTCAGGAAGAAAGAAGAATAAATGAATGAAACTTATCTGTGATTTAAAACTCACAACTCTCCTGCTTGTTCAAACTTTTTATTTTTCTTTTGTCATACTTATTAGTAATTTATGTAAGCTGAACCCTCTCTAAACTGGCCAGTAGATTGAGTTCTGGTCTGTTTTTTTTCAACATGCAGTTACTTGTTACTTAACTTTTTTACCTTACCTACCTTTTTGAATGCTATCATCCAGCTACACTACCATTGTGCATCTATAGCATGATTGTGCAGAGAAGCGGAACATTTCTGCAGCTCAGACATTGAACCGTTAGCCACGGGGCTACCTCCATACTACACTCACAGGGAGTGGTATGAAGGTTAGTGGATGAGGCCTCTTGCCACTTTCACTCAGATTGTGGACTGCGCTACCAGAGTAGACAGGACCATGAACCTGTTGTATACTAATGTTACAGAGGACTGGCATTTTTTTTATTTTTTTGGTTGTACTTATTTACTTCCTCTTTCCTAACTGTTTGTTGTGTAACTGTAACAAAGTAATTTCTTTGTGAGAATCAATTAAGTTTTCTTCAGATTCTGACACAAGCTTCACAGATGTGAAAAGTTTCTAGTTTTGCTACTTGTCCATGAAAGTAAACTTAACATCTCCGGGTTTATTAGTTTGACTTACTTAAGTTAGAACTTACTTAGTGAGTCACAATAATGCCATTGTTCCTCACAGTTCTCGTAGTATCTCCAAAGCCAGCGTAGCTTTGAATAATTACTTTTTTAAAGGAGAAATTCATCAGATGTGGTGAGCCTCTGGCCCTTACAAGTGTAGGCTGTGTATATACATATATCTGACTTTAAAGTAAGTCAAAATTATAGCATACTAAATCAAACTTCGGATTTAGTAAGCCCTACTTTTGATATTTTTATTTTTCATTTCTTGCCAGCAATGGGCTTCCATAAGAAGCACCCAGACAATGCTCATCTATAATGGGGCGGCGTCAGTGACAGACAGACAGCAGTTTGGTTGAGGAAGGAGAACACAAAACAGGCTGGAAAGAATGCAGTGCATGGAGAAATAAACAAACCTCAGGCTAGTCTGGAGTAATGTGTTGTGCCGATTCACATTTATCATTCTGTTCATTAATAAAATCAAAGCTCTATCTTCATCTGTGTCTTTGTTCTGCCTGTAAAACATTGCTCGTCTTTTTTAAGGAAGGGTTTTGGCTGTTACTTCCTCAGTATGTGTGAATTGATCTCTCGACACTCCCTTCAATTTTAATGATCATCTGCAGTGGAAAAAACAATGTAATTTTTTCGCCAGACAGTGCCAGTGAGGAAGTCGTGTGACAGCTGCCTACAGGCTTTGTGAACAAAGGCATGTGTGTAGGCTGGAAAATCCGCCACATTATTCTGCAGACTGCATTCCTTCACTGTCTAAATCATGCAGCATCACCAAAAAGTCACCTCTGCCATCTACACATCAGCTGCTAGAGGTGGAAAATGTCTACTTCTGTGGATAACTGGTCACAATTAGCATATTCAGGTCAGTGGTTATTGGGGGAGCACATGGCTGTGATGGGGATTACATAAGAGATGAGGAGGAGCGGAGCGGGATCACATGACTGTATAAACCCCCATGTCTGGACGCATCCTGTTTCTGCAGGGGGGAATCTTTCCTCTCTGACACACTTATTGTTGTCTCACTGTCTGTCAGGTATATACTGCCACCTGTTGGTGTTTGAATACCCAGAAACATTATCCAGCAAGTACATGCAAGTATCAAGTCTGCTGGAGTGTCTTTGAGCAAAAAATGTATCCAGCTCCTGGACTGACCTCTGACCTCCTGGAGGACCTCCAGCCAAGGGACGTCTTCTAATGGGCGGTTAAAATACAAAACCAGATCATACCAACAGTTCAAAACAAACAGACAAGAAACCTTCAAAGCAGGAAGAAATATTAGCTTATAAACATAAGCTTTTTGACTGTTAATGAGAGCAGGTGAGATACGATGAGGTTAAGTTAACTGGCCCTTGAGAACAAGTTTGTCTTGATACATCATGGAAATGGCAAATATAACAAAAAGTAGACTAACAAGCTATTTACGGCAAACCAGAGGTCTCCAAACTGTGGGTCAGGACCCTGCAAGTCTTCTTGTGCTAAAGTGTTGCACAAAACATGCAGATTTGACTCCAGTTTGATTAAACTGTGCACCCAGGCTGGTGTCCGAACACTGATACAGAATATATTTTATACGGTCAGATGATAATGTTTCCAACCCTAAAGCTCTCTGAGGGGAAAAACCTGGGCACTGTATGTTAAGGGTTTAAACCCTCAGCAATATCCTACTGGAGAGTCCCACAAAAACATACTTACATATACACTTATACAATGTAGATAAGTGTTTGCTAAACCTAAAGACATGCGAAAAAGAGATGCTTTTTGCTGCGTGCAAGATTTTGTGGCTTCATGGAAACATAAAGGGAAAATTTAAGGAGGGAAATCAACTGTTAAAGATTCTGGTGAAATCTCTGTGTACTCAATATTCCCTACTATCAGCACTGCATGCAGTCTGCCCTCATCCTCTCACATAGTGAAGCAGTAGAGTGTTAGGAAGGCAGAATGCAGTGCTGGTCTGTACTGTACTTCTGAATGGCAGTCCAGTTTATGAATGGAGACTTTTCACATTGGAAGAATATAATTGGGGAAATTCACAGACAAGCTTACACTTCCTGGAGTCATGTCAGGAGGGATAAAAGCTCTGCTCTTGAATTCTGGTCTGTTATACTTTACACTTGGCATCACACACCAGTTTGGAGTCTGGAGCGCAGCGAGCACGGATGAACTTGGCCTACATTTCCTCGCGTTCCCCTGCGAGTTTCATTTTTCTTTACTGGAGCGCTGCTGGGCCTCCACACAACTCTGAGAGCACACACTGTCACAGAAGACACAGCCACACATTACAGGCTTCATACAGTCTGATATAAAGAACCGCAATAATGGATTATACAGGACTTCACTAGTAGGCTAACAAAACAAAGCTATCGGTCCCTGTAGCAGGAATATAACGTTAAGGGCATGAGAAAAATGAACAAGGTCAAAGTTGAGTACCACAGAAACAGATGAGCTCCGATGGTGACATCATAGGAGCCTGACAGAAAAGAAGAGACACTCAAACATAAGATAAGTATATTATAAACTCATATGTACACAAACAGCAGTATTTGAGCTCCAGTATCACGGGATTAACTTCAGAAAACAAACGAAGGATGAGGACATTCAACAAAGAGGCGTTATCTAGTTGAACTGTGGAAAGTGAATAAGTGATCCAACATTTTTGGAACTTGACCCATAACAGGGACTTGGTCCAAAAGTCCATATATCAGGAGAAACAAGGCTTTTAGTGCCTATAGTATAAGAATGTCAACGAAGTTGGGGAATCTGCCCCTCGACCTTTGCTGCATCTATTTCTTGCAGGTAACATAACTTAATTGAAGTGCAGTACTAAATCACTTTTTAAGATTTGTAGACAATCATTTTGACCTTTAGAAAGAAGGAGACTCAGAGAACAGTCAGACGTTACACTTACACATATTCTACTGAAAACAACAGGGTTTTACCAGTGTTACTGACTGAATATCACTGCTGCAGGAAATGAATAAGATAAGAAATTTTGAATGTGCCTGTTGCTTGGTGCGTGTACTTCACTCCTCACGTTTCACTCTGCACAAAGGACGTTACTTTCAGTTTCACTCATGTCATAGAGACTCGTCCTGACACTGACCTCAGTCACTGCAGCTGTCCCTCAAAAAGCCTTTTGAAGCTGTCACAACTGGCCACAATAACCTCACACTGATGGTTTCAAACACAAATTTGTCCCCACAACCACAGACAGACATGTATACACACACGTACATGCACTTACAGAAGTTGATCTGCAATAAAGCTATACCTCTATATCCCCATATAGACGACAGCTGAGTCATTCTATGAAACAGGAGCCATTTGGGTCTCCAACATTTGGTGAGATGTGTTAAAAATGTGCTAAAGTGTTTTTCCAAATCTTAAAACCATTAAGTCAGGTACTATTGCCATGACTTTAAATAAGAAAATACTACTTACAAAGACTAACACACTATTTTTTTTAGCCATTTTTCCTTAGAACATGGCAATTTTCACATGTCCATATTAAACAACTTGACATTTGTATCTAAAATATCACCAATAAATGTCATGCATCAAACCTTTATTATTGTCAGGATTATATGTGTCCCTATTTACATAAAATATAAATCTTTTTTTTAAAAATAAAAACATACTTTTTTGTAAAAAAGTAATGATTTGTGTGTCCCTCAGTTTGATTTTCCAGGGATGATATAATGCTATCCATCACACGCGTCTCAACCTCTACAGAGGACGTCACTTTGAGTTTCATTCATGTTGTAGAGAATTATCCTAACTCTGACCTCAGTCTGACCTCAGTCTGAAAAAAATCCCCTGTAATATTTTAGAATAGATTTTGCTCACAGCTACAGTTCCAGTTCGCTGTAATAACTGTAAAATATTATCTAAAATATCATTTCAAATGAGCTGCTGAATAACGCAACAGTACCATAGTAGTCATTACTTTATAAGAATGAGATAAAATAGTCATTTGATGTACATTATAAAACTGTCTTAAGCTCATCAGTTAAAAATACAGTAAATTCCTGTTCAATATTTTGAAATAATTTGTTATCTATGTCATTACATCGACAATATTTACTTTTGTTTATCTGATTTGTGGGGAGATGCGTTTAACTTTTCTCCCATTTTACTCCACCTGTCAGGCTTTATTATTGGATGACAAAGATCACAAGCTGACTGACTTTGACCAGTTAGAAGAACCAGTAAGTAAATAATATGAAAGTCAATGGAGAGCAGCCAAAGGTTATTAGGTCAGAGGTCAGGGCTGTGGTTTCCTGACAGTAGATGCTACCAAAAAATAATCTATAATAAGAATAAAACATTGAACGTTCGTGACGTTCAGTGTTGTTATCATTCCTTTACTCGGCCACTAAGCAGAACAATAGATTTGCAAACGGTTGAAGGACAATACCAAAACATGCTCAATCAATCATCAAGTAACGGCTGAGGGAAGAAAATCAATGTGTCTCATTTGCAGCAGCCTTGGCTTTAATGAAGCAGCACGGCCTCGTGGAGAGGAAAAAATAAAACACAGGAGCTAACTCAGATCTATCTGAGGATAAAAACCCTGAACAGAAACAGTAGAGCCATATTTAGCTGTGAGAAATGGGAAGAAGTCCAATCACCACAACAACACACACGGTGTCTCTCCTGCTCAGAGATCATTTAATTTGTTTTTAATTCAATTAAAGTTTAAAACAGTTTCCTCTGTTACTATTCTACAATAAAAACCCATCAACAACAGTTTGACTCCCACTGAAAAGTTCCCACTGGGAACGTGGAGCAGAATGACAGGAGCCTGAAGGGAGTGTGGGGGGCTGTGAGAACCAAACACAGCCCCTTCTCCTCTCGGTACATCTGAGTTTTGTTGCGGAATGAGGTCTTTATCTGTGACCGAGAACCGAGACATCTGCTCTGAGATCTGAAGCAAAACAATATCTGGTTCCTTTTAGAGCAAAGAACATGGATCTCGTTCAGCAAAATGGGAACACATGCAGGGAGCAAATCCTTAAATGATTCAATTCAGATGATGAACTTTCACTTCAAGTGATGAAATTCAGATATTTACCCCCCACCCCCCCACCCCCCCCACACACACACACACCGAAATGAGTTCATGAAGTTTTGTTAAATGATGCCAGAAAACATGTGCAAGTGGGGCAGAAGCAACAACAGATTTCAAAAAGTGGACATTTGTCTAGTCTTTCAGTAAAACTATAAAACCCAGTGGCGGCCATTTTTAAACATTTAGACATGACAGACAAAGTTATTACTGTATGATTTCATGTCTCATATATTTCCTGGCAACTTACAGACAGAAGAAGAAAAGCACAGTAAAGTGAAGCAGACCGTAAAGTAACAGTATAATGTGATTTATTTACAAAGAATTATACATTTTATTACTCAAAAATATATCTCAGTGTGTAATCATAAATAACCTGAGTATGAGTCTGATCTGTTCTAACCCGACTGCTGTGTGAATTTTTAAATCACGTTACGATGATCCATCAATCATCCATCAATTTCAGGCAAGTGAGTATAAAAACACAAATTTATTTATTTACCTTCATTGACTCAGGTGAATCCCACTGCGACATAAATGTCATTTTAAAGAGAGACCTGAATGTACATAAAAAAACCCCCATAAAAACAAGATAGTCCAAAAAGAATAAACTATACGATTTAAATAACAAACAATAAAAATTACAAAATTGTAATAGAAATACCACACAAGGAAAATTTAAAACATAAAATGCAAAGATTAAAACACGGTTAAAACAATTGCATTCTGTTTTGAGAAGGTTGAAAAATACCCATAAACAATTTATTCTAAATAAAACTATATAAAAATATAATTCACAAGGGTCAGTTGCAGTGGTCAGTGTGTAGCTGACGACACAAGGATTCAGTGTAATAGTTTAAAGATAGTTTTGTTTACAATTAAGCAAACTCCATCTCCTGAAAGACCATGTAATATGGTCGAAAGCTCCGGAACAGTTGTGTGAGTGGACCTTCAGTGGAGCTGTTCTGTCAAAAAATAAATTCAAAAAGTCCAACAAAACAGGTGGACACTGACTCATCAGAACATTCTCTGATCAGCCACCGTGGTCTCAGGAGTCAATCAATCAGACACCAACACGTCAGAGCTGCTCGTCACCGAAGAGAGTGAAATGAAAAGTCATATCACACCTGCACCTTCCTCCTCCTCAGTCTCCCGTATTCAGCTTATCTTCTGTCAGTGGCAACAAAACTAAAAGTACTGGGAAAAGCAGGCTGCTGCTCACTTCTAGAGAAGGAAATTTAATGTCTCATAAATTCTTGGATATTTTATTATTTATGCTGTAAAACACATGAGCTGCAGCCTCTGGTGGCGTCCAAATGAAATCCACAGACTTATTCATCGTCCCTCTGCAGCACCTCGTGCCTTTATGTCTTTCAGTCCCGCTGGGAGCCGACAGTAAAACTCAGGCCAGACACACTCGCAGACTATTGAGGTGGATGACAGCCCGAAGGCAAAGACGTTTTCCTCGTTAAAGCCAAAGTAATCACACCCAGAGTCCTTCACTCCCCCAAACCCTTCCACCCCCTCCATCTTTATCTCCACTGAAGGAAAACAGGAAGGGAGGCTGCAGGCTGACATCTATATGTCTTCATCCCCTCACACATCCCTGGCCTCAGTGTGTGTGTGTGTGTGTGTTCGATAGTGAGACAGGGGTTGGAGGGGTTATCAGCACCGAAAACATTTTTAAAAACACTTCTTATTACACACCATCTTTGTGACCTACTTTATAGCAGCCTGATATATGACCCAGTATTCTCTTAGCATCCTTGGAGAATTCAAGCTGTTTTGGTTCGACTCGACAATAAGGCAAACTTATCAAACTGAAATAAATCATGTATAAATTATTTCCTGAGTCGTGATAAGTTGTTATATTGCAGACAGCAACAGTGACCTCATTAATGTTGTTTTTCACTCCACAAAAAGCCATTATTCTTTCAGCTCACTGGTGGAGTACAACTACGTACAAGTACTACATATTGTACTCAAGTAAAAATTTGAGGTACCTGAAGTTTATTTGAGTATTTACATGTAAAAGGTCACATATTGTATAAAGAGGTTTTATTATTTTTGCTTTGATTATCAAAATAGTTGCTGCTTAATCTTCTGACGATCGACTAATTGTTTCAGCTTGAATAATATTTGTATTTTTCTTTTACACAGACTTCTCTTAAAAGACCTCCTGGTTTTAATAAGACGTCTTGTTTAAAGGATACAGTCACTGTTTTCCACCTAATCAGCAGGAATTTCCATCAAGTCAGTAAAAAAAAAAACTTCCACTGATCTCCACATATGGCCTCTGTAAGCCTCTTAAAGCCCTGAGGTCCTCAGACCAAGAGACCATCTACAAACCTGCTGCCGAGTCTGTGGTGCCCCCTGCTGGGGACTTTCATGAACTACCAGACTGTAGGTGAGTCAGTGTGTCATTGAGAGCAGACAGTGATATGAAAAACATTATCAGCAGCAGTGATTTATAAAGTTGTTTATTACTTTTATTATAGCTACAACCAGAGAGAGAGGAAACAGTCAAGACATGAAGGGAGGAGAGAAATGGTGACACAGCAAATATGTTAATTTATCACACTGACAACAGCCCGAGTCCTCTGTGCTAACATGTAAATGTATTTTAATTAGTCTTTTATTATTTTGCTGAAGCTTTGTTTCATGGATCAGTAATTTCTGTATATTTGTCTATAAAAGGTTTAATGTAAAGATATATGTGAAACGATACTGACTGACCAAGAATTGAAATTGAGGTTAATTGAAAGAAAAGCTGCATTTAAATTCTCCTGAATTTTAAGTATTCATGTGGAACCTTTATTCTCGTTATTTAGTTGTTGTTGTTTTTTTATGGTATTTATTTAAGTTTCATGTTTTTGAAAGATCAGCTGACCTGCTGTTCACTTCATGGCTAAAAGCCAAAAGAAAAAAAAAAAGTCATCAAACTGACATCACTTACTTTCCACACATTGATAAATATACTGAATAATAATTTAACTGGCTTTCTGATTTAATTTGAAACTGTAACATGGATTTAAATACACAATAAACAAACTTAAAGAGCTGGACAAGTGGATCTCATATTATGAAGCTTTTCAACACAGATAAACTTATTATTATTGTACAGATTTGAATAGAAATCTCTTTTTAGTGTGTACTTGCTGCACTACTGCAGTACTTATGTAGAGTAGCACTTTTTCTGTAACATTAGGCCAGTTGTCAACAGGCAGAAGAAAAATACAAATGCATGGTACTGAGGTCTTTTGGTGGGCATTTCTTTTCAGAACAGGAGGTTGGTTCCTCTTGTGTTTTGTATAAGGACGAGTGGAGAAGTGGACGTTCAAGGAGAAGTGGAAGCAAAGCGAGAGAACCAACAACATGTCGATGTCAGGACTCATCACCTCCTCTGCGACCTTTTAGCAGTCTGTTCATAATCAGACTGAAACGTAACAGCCAGCATTCCTCTGTGGCATGAACTGGCCGTTTTCAAGTTTAAAAACCGATTTGTAAAGATCAACATGTGATTTCAAAGGACGTCTACCTTTCAAAGCTCTTCACGGCTCTAAAATTGTAAACACGTTGACAGTAGTTAGAAGATGAAACACACAAGTGTGGTAGAAGTGAAAGAGGGAGAAATCTTAAGAGTGTGAGTTAGAAGTACTGTGGGTTTCTCCTTGAGCTCAGGTGGACAGGCGCTCAGTCGTCTCCTCCACAGATGGCCTTCACACAGTCGCCGTGGTCTCCCGACAGATCCGACTGCAGGACAAAACACAAACAAGGCGAAATGTGTCATCATGCCACACTGACCAGCACGTGTTATATAACTAAACTATACAACACTAGAGAGTTTAACCAGTTTTAAATTCTTCGTTTTTTTAATTGGGATGTTGCCGTTTTTGTCCATATACTGAGCTAAGTGGAGAGTTTTGAGCACTTTCAGCTGTTTTTAGGTCTTTTTGGGACGAGTCAAAGTGAAGTTTCACTCGTTATTTAGGAAACGACCTGATGGAGTACAGACTGTATTTATATTGTTGTTTTTACATAACTAGGAGTTTGTTGTCCAATAGTGTCCAGGTCTTTCTATATTGTTCTGAGATTTTACCAAGTCTAACCTTGAGACTTTAAAGTTTTTGCTCCAAGTCTCAAGTCAAGTTCCGTCTCTGGAGAGTCTCAGGTAAATCAGTTCTCCCAGCATTTAAGTTAAAGTCAAGAGTCAAGTCCTTATTATCATTTATTTATTTTTGACTTAACTCTGCATCAAGTCCAAACCTTTAGTCTACAGGTCTGGTGCAACTTTTACCAGCTGGCAGAACTGAATTGTTTTGTTAACAATTCAACAACTACAGTTCCCATGAGTCTTAGCTGTAGGTGCTCTATCAAAACCTCAAGTGCACTGTAGTCGTTTAAAAAGGTAAAAACAATTGCTTTACTTTTACAAAGTGCTTATATTTTAAGTCTAGTACTGAATCAGCTTAAGCTAGTAAACTTAAGCTAGGCTAACTAGCTAACCCATAAGCTACAATAATGTAGCCTATATGAGGCTGTTTTAGGCTTTGCAATTTAACCTCCTCTTTAAATTTCCACTGAGCTTCATTATATCTGCAAACAGCCAGAAAACCCGCCGCTGGTATCCTACACTCAGGCAGCTTAACTGAGCCGGTAAAACCTTTTGTTCCTGCTTCCAGAGCAGCTCTGTCTCTGAGATACAGTATGTTCGTGTGATTAAAACTCCAAGAGTCCGTCCCAGTGATGGACAGATAATTTGTCAGAGAGGCTGGAGCAGAATACAAACTCACCGGCTACAGACAACTCTCACAGGAGGCTGGCTGATGCTTCGGCTGAGGATTTACCGCCCTGGACACCTGAGTTGTCTTTTAATTTGCCTCTCGGGGCTACAACAGGTAACATGGTGTCTTTTTTAAAAATCTCCTATGAGCTTGATCAAGACTGGAAACCCAACCTGGGCAACCAGAAGATGCAAAATACAGGGACTAGACAGAACACAAAACTTATTTGAGTGTTGTTTAAGGAATCGGCTTTCATCCTTTGCCAATAAACTGTTTTTGGAGTTAATGAGAGTTATAATAAATGATATGATAAAATGTTATTTGAAATGTCAGTGAAAGATTCTTGTGTCACATGAAGAGATGTTCTGGCCCCTCTCCACTTCACACGGCTCCTGTCATCCAGCAGATTAGTCACTTTGTCTCGGTGCAGTGTTTGTGCGTCTCAGAGGACCTGCAGGCTCTTGCATAATTCAAAAATACTTGGCTTCACAGACATCAGAGCTGCTCGCCAAAGCAAATCAAGCCGTTTCAAATCGAGCTTCATTTAGGTCAGTGAGATCGCACTTCAAACTCTGACAATGGATCGGTCCTCAAGAGAGTCAACTCAAAGAGGGCGGGATGAGAAAGATCAAATCTGAACATCAGAGTCCAGTAAAATCCTCTGATCACACTGGATTTGTAGTGAATTTTTGTTGTTGCAAAGTGCGTGCAGACTAAATCTACAGGAGGATCCTTTAGCTGAATGAACTGGAATGAACCCGGTAACATCCTGGTTACTCCAGTAGAATATGATTTAATCCTCTCTAGGTCAAAAGAGATGCTCAAACTATAGAAAAAAAGGAGGTCCTCACCTCGATGGCCGAGAGCAGCGAGTAGTCGTAGAGCTTCTTGAACTCCGCTCTGATGTCCATCAGATCGATCTCAGACCGACTCACCATGATCCGGTTCAGAGTCGACTCATCTGTTCCACCGCCCTGAAAGCAGAATCAGCATCAGTGGCACCACATTTTACACTTGTTTTAGCTCCCCTCCCCCAGACTACCCCGTCACAACACTGGAGTCTCAAAAACACATTTACTAGAATTTGTAACTTTGAATATTTTAGATGACAGGAGGCAGAAATCTATATTTATTTATTATCATTATCATAATTCAGATATGTAAAGTTACAGTAGGCTTGGGTGATATCTGATACAGTCCAGCCCAAATATCACAATATCATCTGTATGTTGTTTTATTTTCTGTTTCTTTTTTTTTTCTTTTAATAATACATAATTATATTATTGTATTTTATGTTTCAGTAGTTTTTTTTAAACAATATACAATCGTATTATTGTATTTTATATTTCAGATATAATCGATGCTGCCACTGAACAGCAGTGCAAAGTTCTATACGTCACATGCCAAGGTACAAAATGCAGTAAACACAGCAGTGAAATGAGGGTCGGACTCGGCAGCAGGACAGACTGTGCAAAACTGCAAAAATAAATAAATAAAAAAAATCCCCCATATTATGAAAAATACTCATATGGCGGGAAATTTTCTGTGGTGTAGAGCTTTACACTTTCTGTCCTTTCTCTTTATAGACAGATATGTCTTTATTTGATGCCATGGAACTGGATGTTGTATATTCTTTTTAGAAAAATCTTCAACTGACGCATGTGATAAAAACAATATATTCACCTTCATGCTCTCATGCAGACATTCTGCAAAGTAGGCCGGCACGCTCTTCACACATTTCACTGGAGAAGGAACAAGGAAAAAAAAGTTGTAAACAACAAGAACAAGAACAACAACAACAACAAGAACAACAACAACAACGGGATTTAAACTTTTCTACAAATATGAAGAAAAGATTTGAAAACGTACATTTTTGTTGCAAAATATTTATTAGATAATTTTCAGTAAAGTCATAATCTACAGTTTTTAAATATCAAACAAAAAGTAAATTCCCTCTTGACATGAAGATCTACAATACATGACCAAAAGTGTGCGGACAACCTACCATTACTCCTGTATGTGGCTGTTGAACATGTATTAACTTGCTGATCTAACAGCCGCCGCTCTTCTGTGAGGACTTTTCACTAGATTTTGTCCACATACTTTTGGCCGGACATGTGTGGGCTGTAATCTGTTAGAATGAAAACATTCCAGGTGCTATAGAGAGTATCACTATAGAGATTAACTGACCTATGGCGACCAGCAGCTCCTCCAGCTCTCCTGTCATCTCTCCCTCGATGCTTTGCTGCAGGGTCTTTCCACTGATGATCTTATATTCAACAAGAGCTGCACAAACAAGAGAAAAAACTCTCACTTTACGTTTCCAATTATTGCAAATTGACCGTTATTGGTGAAAACACAATATTATTCTCATCTAGAATAAACACAATGTGGTTTAAATATGGAAACTTTACTCTGTCTGAGTTGAGGTATGCTGCTTTGGCAGAGGATGTCGATAAATTTAGATTCATCGGTGCCCCACTTGTTCTCTCCGGCATCGTAAAGAGTCTGGGGAGAAAAAAATGAAACGCCTGAAATGTATTCAACTCAAAGACGGACAATTACTGGTTGAATAAAACATTTTCCCAGTGAAACAAGCTGAACTACGCATCATACTGCACCTTGGCGTCTTCTTTTGCCTTCTCCACATCTACAGTGGTGCTCTCGTCCCTCTGGCCCTGCAAACAAAAAACAAAACTCTAACCTACATTAACTGACTCCTACAAAAATAGAATTATATATATTTTTTTATCTGTCCAACAATACTTTTATTTTAAATTTTTGTAGACATAATTCTGAATGCACTGTTCACAGTTTTCCTGTATCGTGTAATGACGGACCTCGGCCAGGAGGAGCAGCGCTTTGGAAAAGTCTCCGGAGAGTTCATCCCTCATGGTCAGGGTCACCTGCGTCTCTGTTTCTGCGGAGGAAAAAAGATCCAAGATTCAACAGAGGACTGTGATGTTTGAAAAATTGACATTCACAGTAAAGTATCTATGAATCTAAAGAATGAAGCTGCTTTACCTTTCAAATAGACGTCACGCAGAGCTTTGATTTGTTGGTTGGATCTGGACGCGAAGATTTCAATCAAGGTGCTGTCTTCAGTTCCAACTCCCTACAACAACACATAGAGTTATTTTACCACGAGGAGAAAACTGTCTGAACTGCGTTTACACCAAGAAGAAGAACAAAGAGATGAAGCAGGATACGAGTAAAGATCAGAGACACCACACGGATCCGCTGTACTCCAAAAACAACACAAAGGAAGGAGGTTTGGGGCGATATCCAAAATATTATAACAATATAATATAATCATATTGTATTTTATGCTTCCTTTTGCAAAACTACAAAAATATCACATATGGCGGGAAATATAACGATATTCGAGATGATCACATATCGGCCCAAGTCTAAAAGAAAGTGACTAAATAAAGGCTGAATGAAAATCATGGGGATCAAATCTTTTAATAGTCGTTAGATTGTTTAAATCGCACACTACATGACTGTTGTATTCCTAATCACAAACCTTATTTTCTGCAATGATGAACATGATATTTGACTACCTGCATGTTCTCACAGATATCCCTTAAAATCAACCAAAGAAAAATAACGTAATAATCTCTTGAGCTATGTATATGTGGGCTCAGTTTTCCCTTTCTTTGCATGTTTAAAGGTCATAAACACCTTAAATGAACTTAACAGAGGTACTCCTTCAATACACATTTAACTTTAACATTTAAAATAAAAGTTTAAAGAATTGTTAAGGTGTACATTTAAGGGCTTCTCTCACTACTTCTCTACTAGGTTTGGTTAAAAAACAAATTTCAAGTCGTACTGGACAACATTTATTTATTCATTATCAATTTATTAAGTCATTAAATAAAACTTCTAAAAGGGAGACAATGATGAAAGTGAGAAAAACTGACTTTCATGGCCCTCATCACTTCATGGCAGTCGTACGCCGCCGGAGGGGTGATGAGCGCCACCAGCACGTCCTGTAAGTCGCCGTCGGTGTCACCTTTCAGGTCCTCCAGTAAAGTCTATGACGTAAAACGCAGCCCGTCAGTTTTCAAAACCGGCTGACACGCCAACCACACCCATGCAAATATATGAACACACACACACATCTACACACACACACGCTTATTACCAGACCACAAACATACAAAGTCACTTTAACACAACTCACTTTTGCACAAGAAAATCTTTTGGCGATTGAATCAAATCAGCGCAAAAAAACAGATGAAACAACACATTCTTTTTCCTAATAAAAAAATTCATTCATTTCAGGACTGAGGCAGGTAACACCTGCCAACAAGAACGAGAAAAAATACTAGTTCATGACGTTAAGAGTGTTTCGAGAAACCTGTTCCTGCACAGGGTTAGGTTAAAGCCGTGACTCACTCTATTCAAACATGTTTCCTATGAGCACAGACTCATGTTTCAACACTAAATAACTGCCGATGGAGCAGCAGGGGACTGAGCTGCTTTGAAAGCCTTCATATATACAGCATATATATATATATATATATAAATAGAGATGTTTTCTGTAATTCACTGTGGGTAAATGACAACAGCAGCGATATCTTACTCTGCCAGTGGCTTCCTGATAAGCTTCGCAGATGAGCTGCCTCTGAGCGTTGCTTCTCTGCGTCAAAACGTCAATCAGGATCTTCTCTTTGGTGCCTGGGACAGTTTTAAAAAGGAAGTGGAGGAAAGGTACATCAGTGAGTGAGAGAAGAGTTCATAGACTGTGATTTAACACCAGGAAACTTGTTTTACTCATGTTGTGGGGACATGAATCTGTTCACGCAGTCACTTTGTGGGTGAAGTGAAGACTTGGTTTGAGGTTATGCTAAGGTTAGGGTGAAGGTTGTGTGTGTGTGTGTGTGTGTGTGTTTCTGTACCAAGTCCTTCAATGGCGTCCTTCAGGGCCTCAGCATCTTCTGCTGCATTAAAACCAGCTTTGGGCGTGATGGTTCCTCTCTCTCCAGACTGAGGAGACATTCAGTGACATTCAGTTATCAGTTTGTTTTTCTTTCCCCCTCCGTTTCATCATTTGTGGAATAATAAATGTCACAGTAAAAGCCTGGAACCAGTGCAGAGTCTGAGTCGGACCTACTTTTGCTGAGAAGGAGGAGGGAGAATCCACGAGACCCTCCAGGTCATCCTGCAGGATGTTTATCAGTTCGGTTTAAAACGTACAATCAGTAAATAATAAACCTCATTAAAAAGTTAATTAAAAACACAGAACTTGTCTCACCCATAAAGACGCCATGATGACAACACAAAGTTCTTCTGTAAAAAAAAAAAGACTTCTTGTTATTTTGTGATTTATATTGACAAACTCAATGTTCGCGCCTTTTGTTCCTCCACCAAACTACATTCATGAAACAGCACATTTTCAACACGAACCACATGTTTACATTCTAGTACTCAAGTGAGTTTACCATAGCAATTTTATTTATTCATAAATTTATCCGTGCACTTCGAGGCTGCCGTATAAAAACTGAAGTCTTTAAAATAATTAAAATACTACCGCAAAAATCACCATGTCCAGTTTATCTAATGTTTAAGTTTTCTCAAGTTAATCTTCAACAAAATCTTAAACTTCCTCTGTAGAGGAGTAAGTTACTGTGATCACAACTTTATTTTACTTTTTATAGGATGTGTGACATGATTTCTTTTCTAACTGTAGCTGTAAAACATCTGTCTGTAAAATGTAGCAGAGGATCAAACATCCTTGTCAAGCTGACACATCTACACTGTGTGTGTGTGTGTGTGTGTGTGTGTGTGTCTATAATCAGCCCTCCCCACCCCGAAAATACGACCGGAAATAATGTGACACACGGATGCTACAGGAGACAGACACATAACATGGTGAAATACAAGTAACCACGGATAAACACAGGGAGAAAACCGGCTTTCGTTTGGTGAAATAAAAGGAAATAATAATAAAAAAAATGTCAGTTAGCACCACTGCGACACTTTCTTATGAGAACAGAATGAATAGACTTCAGTTTGTGCTCAGGTGACGATGCCTTCAGGAGAAAAATAATCATCTTCGTACAAACTTTTAACTTCAAAGAATCAAAGATGGAGCTGAAACATTAAAAGTTCATTTACAAACTAAGAAACTGCAGAAAATCTCACCTGGAGTTTTTTGTTTTTGCCTGAACCGGACACGTCTCCCGCCACTCCTTCCGTCTCTGTGGAAACTGGGAGATCCACCTGAGGAGTCATCTGACCACGCCCACTCCGCACAGGGAGGTGTGGCCTTCAGGGGCGGCTCGTAAACTTGACCTTTAGAGCAATTAAATCGCCTTTTATATGAAACACAGTAGTTGTCACTTTTTAATTACTCATGCTGATGTATTTTAGGCTCGGTTATTGTTTGGTTTCTCTTTTCTAATTTGCCATTTTCCTCTTTATACTTGTTCTGTTTTATCGATGTGGCATTTTCTTTTTTGAGTTGTCTATAGATTTAATTTTGATTAATATTAGAATCAGTTTTATTGGTAGTTTTACAGTTGATTCTACTTCACATTCGTTTTTTCATTCTTTCAATGATAACATTTCGTGTGAAATATTAAATATGAGTTTTAGATAAAGGTTTTGGTGGAAAATGAGAAATAAAGAAATAATGTGGAAGAAGATTAAGAGTTTCATAAGATTAAAGATTGGAACAACCTTCCGATATCACCTGTTGATGTGTTATTTAGTGGAAACTCTTACAGATACAGAACAACAAGTGAAGTACACTAACTTTCCCTTTAATCCTCAGATTTTATTTGGATTCAAAACATGTCCTCAGCATTGTAAAGCGTTAAATAGGCATTTGGATTTAAATTTAGAAATCCATCCTGCACACAAAAATTAAAACCACTTATTATACTTTTTAAAGATAAATGTTACGTGTCAGTTTCAGACAGAATTGCCACTTTCTCTGTCCCTAAATGTCACTTGTCCTTACAATCAACACTCAAATTTGGCATTAAGCCAGCACATCTATAAAATGATAAAATATCTGTATAAAAATCTTCAAGTTAGTTTCTTCTTCAGCAGCTGAACAGAAAAAATGAGCCAAAATAAACATTAAATACAGGACAGTAGCATGTTTCAGAATTTTTTTTTTTATTACTAAAAAAGGCACCAAATACAGGCATCATATTGATAGCATCATAGTTATTTTCCACAAAATGATAGCACCAAAAAAATATAATGTTATTTCCCAGAATTCCCCCGTTCCGATGTCGTTTGATAGGCACAGTTGAAAGAAGACAGGAGGTGAATCAAAGAGACGAATGGAGAGAAACGATTTGTTTTTCTTTTGCAGTGCTCTCCCACCAGTGTCATACACTTAAAAACAAAATTAAAAATTACAGTAACCTTAACATCGTGGGTACATCAGTAGCTGAGCGTAACATAATACATCATAAGAGGGTAAGATAGTAATACATACATGAAGAAAAGAGTGAGATGTGAGTGGGTTTTGTGTCTTTGGGCAGAACGAAGGCAGCTAGACGCACATCTCTTACAAAATACATCATTTAAAAAGTGATTCTTTTTTCATTAGAACAGGAGTAAGGCGAAAGCGCTCAGTCGTGCGGACGGGATCGAAACTTTCTCTCTGGCGTCGGATTTCTGTTACAATCACGTGGAAATTTTCACTTTTCTCGCTCTTGGGAGAAGAAAGAAAAAGAAAGAAAAAGAAAACACTTTGGATGATTCGCTTTGAGATTCATGAGGAAAATACTGCATGGCACTTATAATATTGGCAGCTGTCAGAGTACGAACAAAAAAAAATAAAAATAAGAAGAGTTATGTTTGTTCAACGTGACAGTACAAATGTCTCTAAGTAAGGCGTGACATACACTTCTTTTTAAAAACGCAACAAAAAGAAAAAAGGTCCTGCTCATGAGGGAAGGATTAACAAAAGATATGGCATAATTGCACTTGAAAAGTTATCATTCATTTGTGTTATTATTTACACTCCGCACTCATTCCGCCTCAGGCCATAGCAGCACACTGTGCGTGCTTAATACTTTTCACAGGAAGTCAGAAGCAGCTGATGCAGAAGTCGCTCGAGTCAATTTTGACCGAAGGATAACGGAAAAAAAAACTTCTACCCCGGCTACCGCCTCAACGGCAGCGGCGTTTAATAGCAGTGACGTGACTCGATACAGCAGAGAAGCGACTTTGTACGAAACAATCACCAGTGTCTGAGCTACCTGTCACCATTTTGGTGCTAAAGAAGGACGCGGACGTCAAGTAAAACAGCGATGAGAAGAAGGAGAGTCCGGATGACGGGATGCAGATGTTTTGGCTGTTTCATGCAGCTGACTGGTTCGTGGATTCCTGAGGTAGCCCAGTTGTGAAATGATTAAAACGCCGTGTAGCTGTCTGCACTTCACACTCTTCCCTTTTTCAAAGTGGTATAAAAATACATTAACAAACATCTCGCTCCTTAAGTACAAACTTTCTTTTAGAAAATACCTTTTTTTATTTTTTAATTTTTACTTCCCTCCTCCTCCTCCTCCTCCTCCTCCTGATCTTCTCCTCTTCCTCTAATCTTCCTCGTCAGTCTTTCAGACCTCAGTGCCGTCGTTGAGGTTGTTGTGGAGTTTGACCTCCAGGTTGACCTGTTTGACCTTGGCCTTGCTGTTGGCTTCCTGGTTGCGGTTGAGGATGTTGATGTTCCTCACCGTGCAGTGTTTGGTGCTGAAGTTCTTCTCCACACACTTGTCCATGCACACCTCCACCTTGGTGTTGAGCGGATACTCCTCGTAGACTTTCTGTGACTTCTTGGTCTTCTTCTTGGCCGACCGTCGGCAGCGGCGGAACAGGAAGCAGGAGGCCAGCAGCACCAGGACGAGCAGGGTGACGGCGGCCACGCCCCCGCCCACCGAGCTGCCCACGTGGGCGTTGAAGGTGGCGGAGGGCCCGGCCTCCAGGCGGAGCGACTTCATGTTGGTGCCGTTCTTCACCTGGTCGCCCTCATTGTCATAGATGAGCGACTCGTCGAGCGTCAGGCGCCCGCTGCGGTCCACCAGGTCGCGTTTGGGGCGGCTCAGCTGATAGGTCACTGAACGCTGAATCCTGGGGCTGGACCGCGACTCTGGGCTGATCACATAAATCACCTGCAGGTACCACTGGTGCCCCGCCTCCACCTGTCAATCAACAGAGAGAGAGAGAGAGAAGAAGAAGGGCATTAGCTAGTGAAGGACTGATTAATTATAAACGGTAAGTGGGATGAATTTATATCGAGCTTCTTCTTCTTCTTTAATCGACCACTCAAAGCACTTGATGAATGTACGTCTCGTTCACACACACATTCACACACACTCTCTGGAGGAGCCAGGGGTCTTAAAGCTGAAATCAGGTCTGTAACAGTCTGCGAGACGTTAAGTCTATGTCTATGTGAAATTAAATTCAGAAAGATAAAGTTTAAAGCAACATCAGTCACATCAGGTGACTCCACACACCTTGTAGAGGGCGTCGACCTTCATCGTGAAGCCGTCGACGCCCGGCATGGCCGTCATGGACTGCAGCTCGGGGAGGTCTGAGGCGAGGTGAGCCTCGAAGGGAACATCGTGGAAGAATCTGTCGCACACGTCGGGCTGTTTACGATCCTGCACGGGGGAAACGTGAAGAGAGAAAAAAACTGATCAGATCGCCGAGCAGCTGGAGACGAGTTCAGCGGCAGGTGTTTGGAAAATTCAGCTTTGCTCGCTGAACTGGCGATGTTCAGGTGCAGCCGTGTTGCTTATTAGATTTAGGATTGAGAAACTGCAGTAATCTATAGTTTTTTAGGACTGATGAAATAATCTGAGATGCAGGACAAATGCACAATGGTTTGTTACCGACGACTGATTTGCATGGAGTCAGTGATTTAAATAACCCACAGTCTTTGAATATCTTTGAAAAAATAATCAGGTGCCATCACACGGAGAGGTGGCACTGGTCAGACTGGTGGGACTGGTCAGACTGGTGTGGCAGGTACATTACAGGAGGAATATTAGGTCATAAGCAAAGCAACAATGAGAGGTGACATGAGTCTGCTGTTGTACTGATGGAGTGAATGCTGTGGAGACACATTAAACCAATTTTATCATGAAAATAATTCATGATCTACTTTTTTCACCCGCCTTTATTTGGTAACACAGTCTGAATCCTCAACATGTTGGTGCTTAATATTTAATCATGATGCTGGTAATGATATTTCCCCCCAGGTCAGCGGACATGTCATGCATTTTGAATACAGCTCTTCGATCAGGAGCCACAGAGCAGGGTACACAAACAAACACCAGTACCAGCAGCAGGAAGCGATGCTTCAGGTGCTTGTTGGGCTGGATGCAGCCGTACTGCGGCCCCTCGTTGTACAGCGTCCCGGTGGGGTCGAAGAAGGGGACGTATCCGTCGCGGCCGGTGCAGAGGTAAACCTTCTCCAGCTGCAGCTTGTAGGCTGCGTTCAGGTTCTGCTCAGGGTTCCAGAGCACCCTGCCGTACAGCGTCTGACCTGCAGAGGGCAGCAGAGGGACAGGTTTCCAGAAAGATATTTTTGAGTTTGTGCTGTGAGAAAGACTCAAACCTGAACCTGAACTGTGACTTATCCAAGCGTGCTGTCCAGTAAATTTTATCTGTGTTCTATGAATTCAAAAATCATCTGTTATATTATAAAAATGTGGAAACAACAGTACAGAAAAAAATAGAAAGAGGAGTACGGCAGAAAGGAACAAGAAGCAGCTTGTGGTTCCTCAATAAGAATCTCTAAATCTCTGTTTGAGGAAGTTCTGTTTGGAGTGAGTGAACTTCCCGTCGTACCCATGGAGAACGCTCCCTTGTAGTCCATCTCAGCCATAGAGACGTCGGTGGCGGCCGGGTCCATCATGAACACCTTCTCGTTGTTACACAGCTGGAACTCCGTGTTGAGGGAGTAAACCACGGGAACGGGCCGGTTGGTCTGCTGGAAGGCGATCGGCACCAGGAACCTGACGAAGTGCAACACAAACAAACAATAGTTCAAGGTTCAGCTTCGGGTTACCAGCTGTTACTTCCTGTGACAGACGTATCACGACTCTCCACAGCTGTGCGGCGTGCAGGCCGTGATGGGACTTACTTCTCCGGAGCGTGAGCCGTGCAGGACAGAGGTTTGTCCCCGGGGTCGATCCAAGGCTGAGTGGGCTGCACGGTGCAGGGGATCAGGAAGACGGTGT